TTTGTGACTTTTATATTATAAAATGTAAACAAATTTTGAGTTAGTTGCATTGTACACTTATTTATCCAGAAGAGAAAAATTGGATTAAATGATTAAGCAAACTTGGTTATTTCTGGAAGTTGGTCTGAGGGACAGGGTATTAGGTTAGAGGTATGTTCTGAGGTTGGGGGGAAAGGCTTTAATTTTTCTCACTTGCACTCTTTGAATGTTTTTTTTAACCATGTAGTTTCCATTAAAAGAACAATTAAAATTTTGATTACAAAAATACTTTTTTTACATACTGAATTTATTGTAGATTCTCAAGTACAACATTAATACCCACCATTTATTGAGTGTTTACTATGTGTCACGCATTGTGCAAGATGTTTTACTTACATTGTCACCTTTACTTCTTACAGTTCTAGAAGGTAGGTGTAGTTATGTGAATTATACAGATGTTCTTCAAAACTTACATAAAACCAGAGGTGATCAGGGGTAGCAATGTCTGATTTCCAAGCCTCTATCCTAATTACTCTGCTATGCTACTACCCCCAAGTGTGTGCCTGGTATTGAAATATTAATATTGACATATTTTCATGGCTTTGATGCCAAATGCCAATTCCAGGAGCCCAGGATAGAGGTGTATTTTTTATAATTAAATCTGGTAGAAAGACAAGTGTCGTGTGACAGAATGTGAACACAACTTGAAAAGTTTGAGTTCTCGCTGTCTCCTTGTAGCCTTTACAGGTTCCTTAGCCTTCCTATGTTCTATGTCCTCATCTCTGAGATGACAAAATACTTATCTTGGATTAAATGAGATCCAGTGTAAATGTTCTGACAAAAAAGCATGCACTACACACAGCTTTCCAGGAGAGGACACCGGACACAATATAAAACAGTCCCAGCAAAACCTAGTGGCCTATTTGTTGGGAGGACACGGGCAGTGTAGTGAGAAGCATGGAAATGGCTGGTCCCGTGCTGTATAGTTCTCATACACACCTCTTCGGTGATGCATTCCTGTGACAAGAGATTCCCTACAGTAGCCAGCTCACCGCATGCTGGAGCAGACAGGTGCAGCTGGAAGTCAGCTGTTCCAGTTTCAAGTACCTTTTTCTCTGCTTGGCCCAGAGAGCCTTAATAGCAGCTCACACTGAAAGGAGTTCTCAACATTTTTTCCCTCTGACTTGCAAACTGGGATGTCAGAAGCCATACAGGCCAGGTGTCCTCCCCACCTGGACACCTAGTTAGCTAAACCCCTGAACGATTATGGTAAAGGACTCTTTAGTACCAGGTTTTTCATCTGGTTGTACCACTTTTATCCCTAGATGAAAAAAGATTTTCACATGATGATTTTCAGCTTTCAGCTACTATTTACTACTATTCATTTGCCAGTACAGTAAAAGCTTGGTTTGTGAGCAGTTTGTTCCAGAAACATACTTGTAATCCAAACCACTTGTATATCAAAGTGAGTTTCCCCATAGGAAATAATGGAAACTTAGATGATTTGTTCCACAATCCAAAAATATTCATATAAAAATGATTAATGTAATACAAAATAATAAAGAAAATACAAAATATAAAGAAAAATAAACAAATTAACCTGCACTTACCTTTGAAAACCTTCGTGGCTGGTGTGAGAGAGACAAGAGAGAGGAAGGTTATTGTGTAGGACCACTCTCACTGTCACTAACGGAATCACTGCTCTCTATTGGCTCAATGGAACCTTTTCCTTTTCGTGCAACTTTAACAAGGAGCCTATCCAATGACACTTGCTTTTGCCTCCTTTTGAGGATTTCAGGGAAATGTGACATTGCATTGTTGTTAAACAGGTTCATCACTCGCACTGTTACAGCCTTATTTGGGTGGTGCTTTTCTACAAAATTTGCACTGTTTCCCACATTTTACACATTTCCCTAATCTCATTTGAAGTGAGGGATTCCTCCGCCTTTTTCTCCTCCTCTGCAGACAAGATCTCCTCTCTGAGCACAGGAGACAATCACCCACGATCCCACAGCAAGAGAGAGAGAAGAACCATTGGCTCAGTTGTGGTCATGTGACATTCGGCGTCACGTATTATTGCAAGACATCGCTCGTTTATCAAGTTAAAATTTATTAGAAATGTTTGCTCATCTTGCGGAACACTTGCAGAACAAGTTACTCGCAATCCAAGGTTTTACTGTACTTTATCTCAGGACTTTAATGAGTCCTACGAGACAGAAGTTTTTTTCATTTTACAGATGTGGAAGGCGAGACGCAGAAAGTGGAGTGACTTATACAAGTTACCCAGAGGAAAATGGCAGAGGAGAGACTTCATGAAGCTGACTCTGTCTGCACAGCCCATGTTCAGTCCCCACGCCCTGCTTATGTCATATTTGGGCCGAGGGAGGAAACAGAAAGCTGTCTTACCGGGTATTTGGATGGGTTCATGACTCTTCATGTCTAAAGACAGAAATGCATATTGGTTATTGTTAATCAATTACCCTGCATTGCTAATGCTTCCTTTAGTCTATACCTCCACCATCTTTGACTAAAAAAAGGGAAAAGAAAACAGTAACAACAAAAACATCTTTCAATGGCTCTTCATTCTCCAACTGGACAAAGCCCACACTCCTTAGCCTGGACTTCAAGAACTCCCAGGATTGGGCCTGCATGTCTCCAACCTTACCTTCATAAGGTAGTCCTAGTACGTTGGCTTTTAAATGAAATGGTGTAAGACTGCTTCACTTGGTTCTATTATATAAGCTCTATGATTGGGCAGCGTTCTTAACCCCTCTGACCTTCGATTCCTTATTTATGCAAAAGAAATACATTGCAGGTTACTGTAATAAGTGATGATTAAAGGAGATACATCATAAAAGTGCTTAGTACTCTGCATGACACATAACAAGCACTCAATTAAATGGATTCCCTCTGTTCTGGCTTAACTCATTCTTCAAATTCCACATCCAGTAATGTCCTTAGTCCCAGGAGTCCTCATGTCTTCTCCTAACCTTGTAGCTAGTCTCAGAAAACAGGGGGAAAAAAATCACTTACCAGGTAACACAGTGGACTCCTGGCTTTTCTTTTCTAAAGATGAGAATAGGAAGAACCATTTAGTGAAAAAATGCAATTGGCTTGAAAATTAACCTTATATTTATATGGCTATTTATAGGGGAAAACTCTAAAAGCTTTGAGAGATAGGGACAGAGTAAAGGGGAGATTTAACCCACTGGAGCCTGACTGACTCATAGGGAGAATAATGGCCAGTGACTCCGAACCTCTCCTGGATTTGAGCAAAACAACTCCTGGGTTTGTTTATTTTTAAGATTCAGTCCAAAGACTCTGCCCTACATCTCTCATGATATATATCTTTAAAATAAAATTTCTTGATTATATAAGTAATACATTATAACTACAGATAACTTGGAAAAACACAGGAAAGTATTAAAAATTACTCTTAGTCCCAAATCTTAGAACTACTCATTCTTAACATTTTTGGTATATTTCCTTTCAATCTCTTTGCTATGTATACATATAAGCACATACACATTTTTTAGCATGTTTTCCAGTGTTGAGTTGTAATTGACATACAGAGCACTGTGTAAGTTTAAGGTATACAGCATAATGACTTAACTTACATATACTGTACAATGATTACCACAGTAAGTTTAGTTAATATCCATCATCTCATATAGATACAAAAAAAGGAGAAAGAAAACTTTTAAATAAGGATCTACTCTCTTAGCAACTTTCAAATATACCACACAGCAGTGTTAACCATAGTCAGTGTTAACTGTACATTACATCCCTAGTACCTATTTATCTTATAACTGAAGATATAATGAAGCTGATATTTTCTATATGCTATTTTAGTTCCTATTTTTATTTGCCACTTATAAAGTACATAAGTACTTTATCATTAAATATTTTTCAAAAATGATTTTTAAGTTTAGTGTTTTATAATATGGATATAATTTAGCTTATTTAATAATACCCAACTGTTGGACACTAAGGTTATACAATTTTGGCTACCATACACTGTGTAAATTTTTTTGTGCACATTTTATGCACAAATCTTTATGACTATTTCCTTGGGACAAATATCTAAATGTGTTATAATTGGGTTAAAAGGTATGAACATTTTCAAAGCTAGTATTACATACTATCAAACTGTCTTCCAGTAAAGTTCCAATTTATAATCTCACCAGTAATTTATGAGAGTGTTCCTGTCCCAGCACCCTTGTGGACATTTGAATAATATCAGTTTTTAAGAAACAACAACAAAAACTTGGGAATGAGTTGTACTTGGGAATATACCAAATAATCAAATAGATATAGCTAATAGCATCTGTTAGATTGCTGGAAGCAGAAATACACAAAACCATTTTAATTTAGAAAAAGATAGTGCCATATTTTTTAATGCGCCTTCCCAACACCCTAGGTCACAAGAGTTTGTGGAATAATTAGTCACACCTTCCTTTACCCATGTAACAACTAGCAAAAAGGAGGAAATAATGTGTTCTCTAGAGCTAGTTCCTCATGTCATGTCTCTTACTGCTTCACGGAATGACCTAGGATTGTTGGGAGACTGTGGGGAGCCAGCTGGGATCAGCCAGGGACACTGAGGCTGTAAGCTGGCAAGCTACAGCCCTCCTTGTTAGGGTGAGCAGCTCGAGAGCAGCTTAAAAGTTACAGACCAGAGCTGCAGTAAGGATTAAGCCTGACAGCTGGCAAGCTGACAGGCTCTTAGGCCTTGGGGAGCAGCGTGGGGAAGGTTGCTGGGTAGATCTCATCTCCACTGTGCCCCTGAGGAAAGAACAGCCAACGTCACAGACAACCTTTAAAGTTACGGAGTGGAAGGCCATCCTGTTAACAGTTTCTGCTTGCTGTGTTTTGTCTCGCTTTAGGGAGATTGCTCCCAAAGCCCCCTACCTAAGAAAAGCTACTTTTGCTATAAAAGCTGTATACAAACAATAAACGAGGCCACTCTCTGCCATCAGCACTGAGTGGACCTCCTGTCCCCAGCTTTTGTCTTTATTCTCTTTATTTCTCATCTCCCACCCAATCCTTTCAGGTACCCTTTCGGTAAGCTCCTGGCTGACGAGCCAGGGGTATTCGGTTGAGCGAGCTGGTCTCGTTCAGGAGACACAGAGAACTGTCGTGTCATCTTTATGAAGAAGTCTACCTGAAACTCAGAAGGGTCTCTGATATAGCAAATTAGTAAGCTAAACTGGGTTCTGCCCTCTTCCCACTGTTCCTTACTAGGCCATGCCACCTGCCTCCACCCCCAAGGGAACTGTCTTACAAACGGAAGTGCCCAGAATTTATGAAAATATCTTACCAGGCTCTTCAAGCTTCTGGCTTTTATCACCTAAATTATAAAAAAGAAACTTTTCAGTTTTAATGATAGAATAAAATCATTGAGAGTTACTACAGTTACAGCAAAACTATTTTCAGGTAATATGGCCATAAAGAACCACTTGGTATGTCCAGCAAATTAATGCTACTAAATTTAGGCGTCAGCCAGAGTCTAAATGCACTTTGGCTAATAGGGCTGGAACCCTCCTCTGGCCCCTCTACTAAGAAGAGCCGTCACATACAGCAAGTCTCCTGGGGGTCTCAGTAAACTAGAAAAACGTCTGTCTTGAAGAGTTAGCTGAGGTCCCTGTAAAGTGACCAGTAAAACTTGTCACTGCAATGGGCCAGTAAGAAGTGTTACTAAGCAAGTCCTCAGGGGCATGAAATGCTTCACATAAAGAAAGGAAATTATCTTCCACATATCAAGTAAATTGCATACTTAAGGGAAAGCCAGATACCTTTCTCTCTTCAATAAAGAAAATCTTATTGTAGCGACTTGGGCCAAACACATAATAAGGAACTCAAATGCAAACAAGTGATTTGGGCCATGTCACCATAAATGGAAATTTAGGGGGGGAAGAAAAGCATCAAACCCACATGATTTAGTCAAATGGTACCAAAATTATCACATTTAAAAGGTACAAATGACTAACTTTTCTACTTGCACCTAAATGGTATCACACAGGCTAAGTAAGCTCAAGGACTGAATATAGAGTCCTCAGACCTTTCAGGAGCAACTAGCTATTCCGGTCCCACTAACCTCATTCCCTAGAATATTTCCATATTGTTCAATTCTCCAGAGAGCAAATCCTTTCATTTTTCAAGAGGCATATTTCCCCAGAATAGATTCTCTCTCCCCCCACCCTTATCTGCCAATTACTCCTTCATATCTGCAAAGTACTCTTTCTTCAGCTAAGAATTGAATTTGCTAAATAAGAAAGAGCTACTTAACATCCATGTAAGGATTCTTTTTAAAAATGAGAGCGCACTTACCAGGGCTGGAGATGGGTTGAAAATATTCTGAAATACAAACATGTTTTCATTATATAATATGTGCTTAGATGTGAATGTCAGGTTCAGTCTATTTTTAAACATTTATTAATGATAAAAACTAGAGTTGGCTTACATTTAAGATATGTACAAAATATGGTGAGAGGAGAAATATAAAAATTCAATCTCAAAAACAAATAGATGTGGATTCATTTTAATTACATGAAGAATTCATAGAAAATTTAGCCAAAAAGACAGCTAGAAGTGGACCCTTACTTTCAAACTTTTAAATAAGGAAATCTTCAAAAAAATCCACCCAAAGCATGCATCAGCCCAAAGTATTTTCTGGTACCTTTGGTTCAAATCTGTTGGGCCTATTTGATAATGCTATTCCTGAATACTCTTAGAATTCCTGTTTACCAACCCAAATCTTTCCCATGATCCTCTAAGAAAGACTACCTTTTGTTACATCCTATTTTTCCCCAAGGAAACTGAGACAGACCACACATTACCATTCTGTCCCTCTAGGCTCCCACCTTAAGCCATGTTCACTATATTCCTTCATTAATCTCCCAACTTTTATTTCCTAAGATATCAAAACACAGGGTTTTAAGTCTAGCTCTGCATATGAGAGCCACGTCGGGGCATTCAGGAGTCCTTAAGCTCCTGTAAGGATAAGCTAGGGTGAGAGTGGCATGGTCCCTACATGCCCAGGGCAAATGCAGTGTTTGAGAGAACGGCCACAGGCAAGGCTGGGGGCAGGATGGGGGAGGGACGCAACCAGCAAAGGCTCCTGGGTCCTCCACCTGAAAAGGCAGTAGAAGTAGCACAACTCAGCCTTGAGAAAGTGATGGCTGACAAATGACAGTATGACAGTATGGTGGGGTGGCTCTGACCCATATTTGTGAGCAATAACATTGATAAAATTCTCATTACAGAGATAATGCTTTAAAGCATATCTTACCCATGTTCTCAACACAATTCGCAGTTTTTAGTCCTGAAACATAAAGATAAAGCTGTATTAGTTAGATACAATGTACCGTAGTAAAGATTTAAAATTGATCTGTGGCTATTGGTAATTAATCTGTCAGCTCCTAGTCTATCAGAGTCATAATTTAGTGGGATGCAAATTGCAGAACAATTACATTTTTGTATTCATATTACAGCTACCAAAACCAGTATGATCTTGGATAAAATATCTAACAGTCCTGGAATTCAGCTTCCTTGCCTGTATCTGTTGCTGCGAGATTGCTACAAATGACCTCCAAAGGCCCATCCAAAGCTAATACTTAATGTTCTCTTCTATGATTAGTTTGCAAAAGTTAGGAGAAAATGTACCTGTCTGTTCAATTAATCTCTTCAGATACTCAAAGTCCTCAACAGCAAACCTATTCCCTGCCTATGACAATTGCTATCCACTGTAGAAAAAGATTCTCAATCAGAGCTTCAATGCCCTAGAATACAAGAGCAAAGGTCCTTCACATTCATACAGAGAAAGTTGGTCTGCCCCAGAGCCCTGATCTGTACTTAAGGAGAGATAAAATTTTTGGAAAAAGTATAGCTTTATAAGGACCTAACCCTTCTTGCTGGTGATGCCCTAGAAAAACTCATCATTGCTGCAGTGATCCCCCTGAGCCTTGACATAAAGGGGAGTCTGCCAGCCTGCCCACAGCCAGCAATTAGGGCCAGAGGGTCAGTGACAGGGTATTCAGGTTTGGTCCCAGTATGAGCCATGAAGGGTTTTTCTAGAATGCCACTCGAAGGCCACTAGATGACCTGTTCTTCTCTACGCCTGGCTAACTCACTGGTCTAATCAAGTTCAGTTATCTGAGGAGGAATCTTTCCATCTAAAATGTGGGAGTCTCTGAGAGGCCTGGCTTCACTATGAGAAATGTTCTCTTCTATAATCTTTTCTCAAATCCTGCTCCACTT